CTCCTAAACCATCCTCAGCTCTAAGCCTCTAAGCCCGAAACGCCCCTACATCTCTCCCCCCCCCCTCAAAACACGTCAGGCGCAGCTGCTGGGCATTGACCGGGACCCCGATGCCCTGGAGGCCGCTCATGGGCGGCTGCAGCGCTTTGGGAAGCGTGCCGAGCCCAGGTCGAGGTTCTTCCTTAGATGTGGGGGTTTACGATGGTCGGGGGCCCTAATATAGACCCCCATAGTATCATAGGGTCCCCTTAAGAAGGACCCCAGAAAGGAACAACCTATTCTCGTAAACCCTCACGTGGGTTTGTAGGGTTCAAGGCTTAAGGTCTTGTATGACGAGCCCTGCCAGTCATTTTGTTGGAGCTGGTCTCTCGGGAATGGTTTGTGCGTATCGAGAGGGGTAGAGTTTAAGTGGCATGCCCAGCAGTGGTGGTGCCTGTGTAGCGGCTGAGTAGGGCTGACAGGTAAGGGGATTGGGGTGCTGTGGTGTTAGTCTTTTGGCTGCAGTCCCGAGTTGAGGGCTATCGGGCCTTTCAGAGCGTTGGCAACCGCAAGACTCAAGACTAGACAAGCCAGAAATCCAAGCTTGGATGTCGAGATGAAGTCCTGCGCCTAATGAGACAGACCCCTTAGGTATCGTACTAGAAACACACCTCTCAAGCTGCCTCCACATAATTGTTCATTCAGAGCCGACTGCTGCCATGGCCACGACGATGCGAGCTGCCGTCTATGGTGAGTTTTCTGGGCCGATCAGCATCCAGGAGGTCGGACGGGGTGTTCAGACATGAACCGAGCCGATGAACTTTGGAGGTAGTCTTGGTCAACAGCTGTTGTGAGCCCTTTCCGGTGTTTCCGGTGCGGCAATTGTAGGAGCTGCTTTCCACAACTGCCCTGCGTAGCATAGTCAGGTGCCAAAGCCTTACGCACCGGTGGGAGGGCTGCTCCTCAGAGTCAAGGCCACTGCTCATTGCCTGTGTGCGTGCTGCTTCTGGGTACTGCTAGTGTCTTTGTCTTAAGTCGGGGGTTTTGCTGTCTTTTTTGCCCTGTGCCAGGCCTGTGGTGTTTGTCGTTCCGACTACCACGGCTGGAAAGGTCTCGACAGCGACATCGTGCAGCTGCCTGGCTGAGCAAGGGTGCTTGCAGGCATTGTGGCAAATCGTCCTCATGCTGTGGACTCTCTGCCGGGTGGAGCTGCATGTGCAATGGGATCAAGTACCAGCAGTGGTCACACAATGCACTCAGTAGTCGTGTGATCGTTCTTTGTCGGCGGCAAAGAGCATCGGGTCAAAGCTGTTGCCTCACAACCTTGAGCGATGTGGAGTGCAATGAGCTTGTTTTCCTCTATAAGATCTTTACTCTAAACTGGTCAACAAAAGTCAATGCCGAGGCACGGTCTGCCTTTCACGCCGGGCCATGAGTTGCCACCTGTCCCAATATGCTGTGCTTTTCCAGCTTAAAGCACCCCGGGAGGGAGTGGAAGCTGATTGCGCTTCAACCATGCGAGGGCTGCTCATTAGAAAGGAGCCCTATCTATGGAACGCCACCCCAAGTTGGCTTCCTCCTCACGACGTCTAGTCTCTGGCGCACCACAGACCTGGGCACATGGAAGGGCTTTTCAGTGTCAAGGTTGTGGGGCTGTCAGCTGTTTCGGGGCATGTCACCAGCAGTGATGAGGAGCGGTGTGGTCGTGAAGCTGGGGCAGGGCACAACCAAGTTCCAGGCCAAGGGGCAAGCTTGGTAAGCACACCTGTCATCTGCGAGCTCATCACGGCAATGACTGCTATACTGCTGCCACTGCCACTGATGTGCCTCATGAATGGCGAAGACCTTTAATTGGGACCCTAACAGCCAAACAGAACTCCCCGGATCCGTCTTGAAAGTCGCATGAGGGAGAGAGCTATGGAGCATGCGCAGTGGAGCCCTGTTAGTATGCAAGCCCTAGAAGCCCATGCGCCGCGATGTCAGCGGACTCGGCGGACGACACTCCGAAACACTACACACACACACAAAAACAATGATGATTGCCTGTCTTTGTCTTGACATGCGTGCACGCGTGCGCACACGCTTCTCGCTGGATAAGAACGACATGAGTGTTACGAAGCATGGCGCGTGTGATAGAACCCAGTCGTGCACGTTTCAGCGTGCTCATGCACACGGCAACATCACAACACTGCATCCGTTGTCTACTAGAACACTGCTGCATTCGACGACATGCCACGAAAGCTAGCGGAGCTCACCGCCCTGACCCGCATCAACGAAGGAACATCTGGCAAGTGGACGTCTTAGTACTAACCGGGAGGACGAACCACTGCACTGCTCGCGTTGCAGGGCATAAACCATCGGATTGCTGAGCGGGTGCAATTGAGTCCATGTCACGAAAGACTGGGTTCTTTCTCATGAAATGAGGATGGTGTGCATGTGGGGGACAGGGTCGCTGTGCCAGACACAAAGAATGGCGTGACGAAGTCAGAAAAGAGGATTTCGCGCAAGGAGTGCCGGGCACTTGGGCATAAGGCGTGGGGGGCTTGTCTCAGTTGTCGTCATTCATGGGCCAAGAGACCTTTGCCCGCGCCTTCCTTCGGCCCACCAAAGCAATCACTGGGGCAGGTATGACGATTTCGCACATGCTGTGGGAACTTGCCTAGCATATACAAGAAGCACATGCAACTCCCGAGCTCATTCTGCTATGCCACCCTGACTCTGTCCTGGCAGGTGGGCGACCGCGTGGCGGTGCCTTTCATCCTAAGTTGTGGAAACTGTCGGCAGTGCGCACGCAGCCGACCCACCATTTGTGAGGCCCAGAGCGTCAGCGTTGTTGAGTTTGCTGTTGTGATTTCGCTGGCGGGTTTGCGTTCGCTGTAGTCATAGTCGAGCGGCCTCCCTTCAAGAAAGGGAAACAAACACAACATAAAACGCCTCCCCCCCGAACAACCTCAACTCCTCAGGAAAGCGATAGACATGGAAAGACAGAGTGCGCGGGGAATAAGGTTGAAGAAAAAGATGCTGCTACACCGAACTCTTTGCCAGGGTCAAGCTCAGCCGGGCTTTACCTTCCCTGGCGGCTTTGCCGAGTTTGTAGCGATGCTTGGCCTGCTGGAACATGGACTTGAGATTCCCTGGCTGGTTCTTAGTAGGGAATGAGGGAATTAGGGTGCTATATAATCCCTCAAAGGGGTTATTATATATATATATATGTATATATATATATATGTATATGTATATATGTATATATGTATATATATATATATATTGGGCCTTCATTCCCTCATTCCCTACTAAGAACCAGGGGGTCCTTCCGTGGGTTCAGATGCAGATCTTCGTGTCACCATGGTTGGGGCCGATCTGTATCTGTGCTTTCCGTTTGACCCAATTCTTAGTCGGCGAATTTCGTTAGCTGACCGGGGCACTGACATCGCTGGACAAGAAGCCTCTAGTTGTTGATGAGGATACCCTCGATTCCTTATAATCCATTTCTCAGATTTTCCTCTAACTAGACGTCCAGCCCCCTTAGAACCTTGACTCGAAAAAATCAGCCGCGGTGTTTCTCATGGAGATGCCATGCTCCTCTTGGTTCCAGAAGGCCTTCGAGAAGTCCACGAAAGATAAGTTCCTTGTGCGTGCAAAATCGGGATGCGCATGCAACGTGCCTTTTAGGGGAATTAATGCGTAACTGCAAGGGAGTCTGTCATGTTTTACAAGTCAATTAAGATCATGGGTTGTTTCACAGCGGTCACCCAGGTGTTTTATTATGATAGTGGTTAAATTTCGAAAAAAGATGATGCTCAAGAACAGACGGCTTGTGGGTAAACACCATCTAGGATTCCTGACCCTCTTTTGAAACACGTAGACTAGACCACCACTCGTCACCACCTGTGCCCCCCCAAGACCTACCAAAGGCCCAGGGCCTAACGTTGCATGAATGTCAATAAAAGTATAGGTGCACTTGTACGTGCACCCTTGTTGTCGAAATACCAATGGGGTAGAATGGGGTAGATTCCGGTGCAGGCAGGCGGTTGAGGTATACTTCAGGCCACATCTGTTAGTAAGTTGCTGCCCTGCAACTGGCAGTACTGTGAAAAAGGACGACAATCTGCCGACGACAACTTGGCTAGAAGACACGTTTTTGACTCAATGGTGTGAAATTCTGGTGGCTTTGCAGGCAAAACCGCAAGGCCTCCAAACCAAGAAACCAAAGTCCTTTCAAATTCCAAGCACTTAAGCCACCGTAATGTCGATCAGAGCTCCCATGCTTGGCTCACAAAACCTGAAGCGCCATGCGCTCCAGGAAAGACCCGTAGCAGGCAAGAGGCAACGGCTAAAAAGAACGACCGGCCAAACCCTGCCTCGCAACCCTCATCCAGCCGAGACAACCTCTTGTCTGAGGATCCCGCGAGCCGACCGGAACTGCAGCCTGATCCCACCAAAGGCCACCTTCGCGCTGTTTGGTTGACAGAGCTCTCTGAATACTCCAGCAGCTGCAAAGCATGGGGGTAGGCTCTGCAACATCAAGTGAACAATTTGGGGCTGTCTTGAACCTTCTTCAACCTTCACGATCTCAAGAAGAAGGTGACCTCGCACCGAAGGAAACAGAACGAAACAGAAGCCACTCGCAACGTCCCTGAGCTCAAGGCCCCAGCATCTTGTCACCAAGAACCCAAGAAGCCGTGAGAATCCTTGTAAGATACTTCATAAGCCTCGCCTTATACACCTTTCTCGGCCTCATCATACCCTCATATGCCAGAACATAGCCCTTGGCAAGCCCAGAAGCCCTCAGCGTCTTTTCGGCCCAGAGCCTGCCGCAGGTCACCCTCCCTATACCCTAAACCCCTATAAGCCCTAAACCCCTAAACCCTAAACCCTAAACCTGAGCCAGGTCTCCTTCGTGCAGGCTGCGGCCCTCGGCTGCCGGTTGACCACAGCATTCCGAGCAGCCTCACAGTTGCATCTGGGGTTTGGGGCGGGTGGGGGGTCAAAGGGTTCACAGCCCTTAGCATGTCAGAGTGGTGCTGTGGTGGAAGGGTTGAGAAAGGGCGCCGGCCACGATTTCACGAGATTTGCCAGCTGTTCCACATGTTCCACTGACAGTGGCGAAGGTGGTCTTGGCCCAGCACCCTATCAGGTTAGAGGAGAGGTGATAACGGGGGTGCTTAAGGATGATGACATTGAGATCGCTATCCAACGCCTCGTGCTTTTGGTGGAAGGTCAGATTCGGAATCAGAGGTTGGCTCTTTGAGTGTGGCGTCTTTGTGTCCTGGAGCAGTTTCAATGCCGCATCCAGGTCATGCAGCAGGGCCGCTTGAAAGCCGGCGAGACCCTGGCAGTTTTTGGCTGTGGTGGTCTGGGTCTCTCTGCTGCCACTCGACTTCACAGCTTAGAGGTTTAAACTACCCAGAATGGAACTGCTCTGGGAGCTTACGCGCACAAGTCTTCTCGTGAGGCATCCTCTTCGACTTTACCAGACTCTTCGTCAGTCAATGATCCCGTTCACTCTCTTTTTATGGTCGTTGCTAGTAAAATCAGTCGAGAGGATTCCAACACCCTCTTGAGCCGGCGGTTTTGGAATGCTGGGGATGCAGTTGAGGATTGTTTCTGGGCCCTTGCCAGGCAAAGCTTGGGCAGAAAGATTGTTTTCGGAGTTCGGTCGGTTGAACTTAAGGTGATGGTCGCGCTGGCTGCTGCAGAGAATGTGCGGGTCCTTGCCGTGGACCCCAGCGAGGAGGCGTGCAAGAAGGCCGCTGGGAGAGACTGATGATGTCCTACCTAAGCGGCCCCTTTACCCAACCCTGTAAGCTGCATTCGCCTCCACAAGTACTCGAAAAAAAACCCAAACCCTCAAAGCCCTATAAGCCCACTGAGAACCCGAAAATCCTAAATTCCTAAATTATTCGATAAACCCAGACCTAAAGTAGTCCTAAACCCCAAAACCCCTATAAGGTCACTGAGAACCCCAAAATCCTAAAGGGCAGTCCACAGTTGGCAAAGCCGAGGCTCTGGAGCTCGGAGCCTGGCACGCATCCAGGCAAAGACTTCAGACTATGCCAGGCTTAGGTTGGGAGGTTACCCCCCTTACACGAGCAGCTCCTGATGAGGGATTGTAGTGGCACCCTCTTATAGTCCCTATGAAGGACTGTTAGTATAAGGGGGAACATCCCAAGGTTTAGGGTTCAAAAGGTTTTTCCAGGCATGAGTACCAGCTCAGAGCTGGTTCAAAAAGGGTTTATAGGGTACCTATGCGTACCTCGTGTCGTCGACGTTTCAAGACCCTAGCTTACCGGCAGGTTGAGATGGAGCATCCTTGAACCCTTCGTTGTCATGCTGGCATGGGGTTGGCCTTTTAGTGAGAGAATGGTTTGCAGCAGCCCTTGCCTCCGACACATGTACAGAAGACAGAGAACGGTGTCTTAGAGCAAGGCCTTTTAGGCTTCATAAACCCTGAACCCTTCCGAAGCCTTGCCTGCCGTGTGCGAGTGTAAGAGTCGAAGCCCGAGAATCCCCGGAGCCCACACAGACTCTGCCTCAGAAGCCTGTCCTCAGGCTTTTGATGCCAAGGAAGGCTCGCTGCTGCGCTTGTGGAGTCGGTTGCCTGGCCCAGGGGTTGGCGATGATGCTGTAATCAGCATGATGATGCTCATGATGATGATAGCTGCCTATGTGCAGAACATGAGTAGCAATAACGGTAGTAGATAGAATAAATCCGAAAACTGCATAAGAAAGGACTAGCTGTCAGCCAAGGGACCTAATAGTTCGCCAGCAAGCGGAAGTACACAATACATATACATGTATATATATATACATACATATACATACATATATATGGGTTTGTGTTTTTTTGGGGGGCTCAGGTTTCAGAATGGCACACGGGTTGCACACCCGCGAAACATACCCCGAAACATACCCCCGAAACATACCCCGTAACATACCCCCGAAATTGCAGGTAAAGTAGCTCCTGATGCCGCGAAACATACCCGAAACATACCCCCGAAACATACCCCGAAACATACCCGCGAAACATACCCCGACCCCAACACGTGTCACGCACCTCCCCATTAAAATACAAACCCATATATATATATATATATATAAAGTACCTGGTGAGGAATAAGGAACACTTGCGGGCAGGTGACGAGTACGTTCGAGCCAAAGTTGCCGAAGCCACTCGGGTAAAACTTAGGGTTTCGGATTCAGGGGCATTGTCCTCAGCCCGTGGTGAGAATGGGTGTTAAACTTCACACTTTGGCCATGCGCGGCTTTGTTGTTAGCTTGATATCACTTCAAAGCCACTTCGATGCTGCGATTGCGGCTCCTCTGCAGGACGAGCACAAGAGTGAATCCCTGACTGCATGCGTAGTTGCGCACAGTGCACAAGTTCAGAGAATTTTGTCATCTCTATACATCAATGCACGACAAGTCCACAAGGAGGGTAAATGCGACGTGCTTTGCTTGGAGTAGTCATTCGTCCGCTGCGGGCGCAGTTTCCTTGCCTCTCACAAATAGCCTCGAGGATGTGTTTGCCCCTCTTTTGTGTTTGTGTTTGTGGAGAAAAACTGAGAATGCCACTGTGCGGGATCACACGCTTAGGCTTGCTCTGTATTGTCTGCAGTGGTCTAAGTCTAAATACATCACCCCACAGTGTGCGAGGAGAAGAAGTATATCAAGAGAAAAAGAAGGACGAAGACAGAAAAGAGAAGTAACAAGAGCCTGGAGAACTGGATTTGCAGCATGATTGCAACCGTGACCTGCCTTGTCTGGCACATGCTCCGGGAATAATGAGAACCAGGTCACCGCAGGGTTTGGTGCGGACGTCACCGTCGATGCCGCGGGCTTCGCAAAATCTTGCGAAAACGCCGCTGCCCAGCTTGGGTGGAGTTCCAATCACACACCGAGGGGGAAGAGAGTCCCTAAACCGTGCAGGGCGCCGCATAGCATCTTTTCTCCAGTTCTGCGGCATGGTATATGTCAGGGCTCTGCCCTGTTAACCTCGAGTTTTTGTTCAACATGCTACATCCTCGGCAGAACATTGCATAACTCGCGGCTGCCAACACAGCAGCCCCCCCCCTGACCCGAACCCTACGCAACACAAGGTTTGGTGCACAAGGCGAGGTGGTCGACGCATGGCTGAATTCATCCGTAAACTTACCATGTTCAGTTGCATGGCTACGTCCTTGGACCCTAGTGAACCAGTCCGGCATGTTATTTGGAACACAACAGACAGTGCCCAAGAGTGTCGAGAGCTGAGGCATGGTCCAGGTTGGCTTACCGCATGGCGAGGCGCCTTTTAGGGCTTTTGGAGTTTAACGGTATGCTTGAGAGATGCGCTGTTTGTTAGGGGGGCTCTATGAAGTACATTAGTATTTTGAAGTAGTGGCTTATTGATTTTTAGTTAGGGGTCCTAAAAGGAGGCCACTTGAGGCTTCGAGGTTTGAGGACGACCGGCTTCGGCTACTGTATGTACCAGGGCGGGAGGAACTGCAAGCACTGGGCAAGCTCATGTCTGCAGACCACTGGGCACAAGAAACACAATGTAGGGTTCAGGGTGTTAAGACCACATGGGTGATACAGTCCATTGCGGCGCTGGGCGCCCTAGAAGCTTATCCCTAAACCCCTATATAATACCTAAGCCCTTAGAAGCCCTAAACCCGAAAGCAAAAAACAAAACATACCCTAATCCCTAATTCCTGGAAGCCTTAGCTGGGAAACCGGGAGCTTGGGGGCCGATCAAGACGGTGCAGGAGCCTCGCCTGCCCATGGCGCGCGTGGCAGGGCTGGAGATCGAAATCATAGGCTCCTGGGTCTGGTTAGGGTTGCTTGCTTCTCCTACTTGAAACATTTTGAAACATGAGCTTGCAAGTGCTTTGCAATGTTGCGGAGATGGGCTGCTTCAATCTGCTTGACTGGTTGTAACATGGATCCGCAAGCGTGCCGAACTCAGTCAGGAGAGGGTGGTTGGGTCTAGAGGTGTTGCTTTTGTGATTGCGTGATCGGTAGCTCATAACGTAAAGACTCTGGCCAGCGCAGGTGCGCGGTAGGGCAACCGTGATTTGTTCGAATGTCCGGCGCGGGGTCCAGCAAACAATCCCTGTACTGGGAGCTTCCAGCACCGATGCCAGCGACTTAACCAAGCTGATTTAAGGAATATCGCTGCAGTAGTTGGGGGTATGTAAGCACCCACTGGCAGCACAATCCCAAGCTCCCAAAGCGGAGGCTCCCACGGGCTTGCGGCGACGGACATGCCGCTGCTGCTTTCCATGGTGGCCGCCGGCAAGCTTCAACCGGAGAAGCTGGTGGAGCGCTCCTTGGCACGTTATAGGGCCAAAGGGCCCTTTCAGGGCCTTTTCCCCCCCAAAGGGCCCTAAAAGGCCCTAAAGGGCCCTTTATAGGGCCCTAAGGGGCACTTTCAAGGCCCTTTAGGGCCCTGTGAGGGAGGTTTGTTTAAGGGTGAGAGAACTGCATGGGTTGTGCCAAGTAGGCCATGTGCACACAAGAGAGTGAGGCGAAGTCAACCTCGAAGACGGCGCAAAGGCCGGCTTTCGTTCCACGAAGAAACTCTAAGTGCGCCTGAAAACTGTGCGTATTGCCAGCAGGGCTGTAGCTGCTTGTAGGACCAGGATGAGCTTAGATGGGTCCTGCTTTCAGGCGCGGGGGAAGGCCAATGAGTCAAGCAGGTTAGTTGGTCGGCCAGCCTGAGTCGGATCTTGTTGCGCGAGCTGGCTATCATGTGCAGGAAATGATGTGCGAGCTTGGTGAGCTACCCAAGGGTTGAATTTCGTTGCCGGAGCCAAGAAGTAGGTTGGGAAAGTGAGAAAGGCTGATTTGCCAAGTTCAAGAGCAGTCTTGAGCCTGGAGAGGAAGAGCAGACAGGGCAAGGCGTTGAAGCCTCACTTGGTCCATCGGAGTTGGTATCCCCAGTACCTTAAAGCCTATAAACCCCCCCCAAGAAACTGCAGCTGACAAACCCTGAAAGGCTCTTGAGGATATGGAGAAGGGCTCGGCCCTAGGCATGACGATGATTACCAACTTCAAGGGCAAGGAGCCTCAGGGGGCCTTAGGGGAGTTCGGAGTTCAAAAGGGTAGCAGGAGAAAGGGCCTCTTGTGGCGACGGGCGAGGCTTGCGTAGTTCGCATTTAAGTATGCGTCCGGGTTTTGAAATTCAGGGCTCTTTGGGTTTAGGGTTTGAAGATGTTTGAGTTGAAGCGTATTTCCAAGCTCCTCTCAGTCCCATGCCTGTATACCATCACAGCTTAAGAATTTGCTGCCTCGGAGGACGCCGAACCTGCAGAGAAGCGAGCGCGAACGACCTGAGAACTGCAAGCTCCTGTTGTGGTACCCTCAAGCAGCAAGCATGTCTTGTGCCCAGAACAATCATTGTCCAGAGGGCTTCGCAGGAGATGCTTTTGCGTGGGAATCCTCATCTCGAACAATCTTGGATGAGCCCGTGTTCCTTCTTACGTGCGCATATGACAGGAGGCAAAAAAGAAGTAACCTTGTCCTGCACCTGCCGGATCAAGTTCGGTCGAGTTCAGGCTACTGCGCTTTTGCTAGCCACGGTCCAACGTTCCCTCGATTTTGGTATCAGGGCAGTCCTTTTTTTGGCACTTAACAACCGTAGAGCTATGCATGTTATGGTATTTAGCAAGGAGTGAAGAACACTAAGGTTGTAGTTGACCCGGTGGATGGCTGCTGGTTGGGGAGGTGTATGGTCAGTTCTCTACATGATGGTACCCTGATTAAAAGAGGGGCCGCCTCATAGTACGGAGCCCAAAAGGGATCGTAGTTCAGAGAAGTGGCCATAATATGGATTCCATGTTCCTTGAAAAGAGTGAGAAAGTAACCAACCCGTGAACAACAAATGATACAGAGATGATCTGAGATTATCTCTGTGGGACCCATGACTTCTCGCTTCTCTATATCTGCCCCATAACAACTTCTTTTGAAACGACATTTCCCAGTTCGGGGTTAATGTACCAGGATTAGGAACAGATTGCAATGGAAGGTCTCCGAGTCTCTAGAGTCTTACTCCAGACTTCGTTGGGGAGTTTTCGGGTGGCTTTGGTAGGGACTTGTGGATCTTGGTGTACTTTCTTTGGTCGAGTGTTCTAGGAATGATGCAGAGTTCTGACCTCCGAACTCTGTCGAAGTGGCATCGCGTCCAGAATTGGGGCCCCGTGTCGTCTCACAATCTCATTGCGTGTGTGATGGGTCATATTTTGCATGCTACGTGGGTCTGAGAGACTCTTGTCGCTTGGCTGGTTTGCTTGGGCCTGCGGCTCTCGCCCTCAGTCCCAGTTCGTGCTCTGAACGCCTGGGTTGTCTGTTCACGCTTGAGGTGCTCACCTGGCCAGGGGCAACTTCGCTCAGCTCCCTTCGCTGCTGAGAGCTTCCGGGCTCTCATCGACAAGGCCACCATAGCATGGGAGATATGAGGGGTCTTTGAGATTAGTCTCTTCTGATGTGCTCGCCGCTGCCAATGTGGTTCGGGCGCGGCCGGGATTCAAGAGCGAAATGTCAAAGCCAGGATATTGCCTCTCCTCTGCGCCTTCGCTTTCGCGGCCAACCTTGAGTGTACCCAAAGGCTCCAATGTAGTTCCTTTTTAGGTTATAGGTACAGGGGATTCTAGTATACTTCCCCAAGAAGGTACTACATAGGAGCCTTTGGGTAGAATCTCCCCTGCATAGCTCCTATACCACTCCTGAGTTCACTTTGCCTTTGGCGTGCTTGCTCGTCCTTGGCCGTTCCAGCCACGGCTTTGCCGTTTTCTGGGCTTCCTTGCATTGGCCCTTCTAGATGTTGAAGACCATATCCACAATTGCAGTTCTCGAGTTTGGCATGGACATTTTTAGGCTGCAAAGAGCCCTCTCACTTTTCTTGGGGTTCGAATATATATATATATATATATATATATGTATATGTATGCATGAAAGCGCACCGCACCCAGGCATTTCTTTCGGGTTGGAACCGGTGCGTCAACGGTTGATGTGCCTCCATCCATTGGTACGCTTGCTTCTGTTTGCCCAACCTCTAAACCTTGTAGAAGTCGTAAGACTTCAGCTCTATCTCTGTTTCCCGCCACAAAACATGTTGAACTTCACGATGGGAAGTACCCGTCATCTTACTCCTCCTCCTCCTTCCCCTGAGTTAGGCCTCCACCTCTCCGAGTCCCAACACCAAGGGGGTGCTGGCAAGCTTCAATCTTCCCGCCCAGAAATCTGCTTTCAATGCCCTCCCGGCCCCAAGCTTATGCACAAGCATTGAGACCGGTAGGCCAAACAGCTCCTCAGTTTTTTCGGATAGTACCCTTTGCAGATGACAGAGTGGAGGTCTACAAATCAGCCTCGACGGTAAGAGGAGGTTGGCCTGAAGGTTTCAACAGTTTGCCCCATTCCTTGGCAGGCCGCAGTGCGATGCTTTGCTTGCAGACTTGGGCAGGAGTCCAAGCGGCTGAAGTCGTTTGTTTCCTGAGTGCGGGTTGATCTAGGTGATGTGTTGTTTCAAATCAGGGCCTTGGGCTTTTATGAAAGTATATTCCTACTTGTTCGGTGACATCTGTTCAACTTGATTTTTGTGGATTCCTGACATGGGTGCTCACGTACATGTGCGAGGGGCCCTCCCGAAACAAAGGCATCTTGCTCGTTGTCTCAACCTTCTCATTATTTACGGCGAACGGGATGCGACAGGGCAAGTCTCCGGCAAACAAAGACACTTGCAACTGGCGCAGCGTATCCAGGCACAACGCTGCGCATCAGCGGTAAATATAACTCAGTTGGCGGACATGTTGGCATTGCAACAGCGCGGACTGTGCAGTTCCGTGATCTTCAAGCTCTATTTGATGAATTGCTCTCCCCTGGAGTGTGTGCGTGTGTGTGTGTGTGTGTGTGTGTGTGTGTGTGAATATGAAGTGAAATGAACGACATGAACGAAATGAACGCGTAGCAAGACCCTAGAGGATGGCACTGCAGAGAGAGAGAGAGAGAACGAAATGAATGAAATGAATGAAATGAATGAAATGAATGAAATGAATGAAATGAATGAAATGAATGAAATGAATGAAATGAATGAAATGAATGAAATGAATGAAATGAATGAAATGAATGAAATGAATGAAATGAATGAAATGAAATGAAATGAAATGAAACGAAATGAAATGAAATGAAATGAAATGAATGAAATGAATGAAATGAAAATGAATGAAATGAATGGAAAGAAAGAATGAATGAATAGAAAAAGAAATAAAGAAATAATGGAATGAAATGAATGAGTGACTGAATGAATGAAAGAAATGAATCAATGAATGAATGAATCAATGAATCAATGACATGAATGAAATGGAATGAAATGAAATGAAATGAAATGAATGAGTGGATGAATGGACGAATGGACGAATGCAATGCAATGAAATGAAATGAACGAATAATTGAATGAATGCATGCATGAATGAATGAATGAAATCAATGCATGACATGAATGAATGAAATCTTTGTGAGGGCAACCCTCCAAGCCTATATCGACTTTGAACCACCACAAGTACCTCATTTGCAGCTGAAGGCGTATCCTCGCCGCAGCTGGACCGTGCAGAACGCGGCTTCAGCTTCCGCAGCCAGGGCCCGCTGGACATGCGGATGGACAGCCTCGGCCCATTAAATTTAACAATAGTACACTAACGACATAGCATAACAACATAGAATGAACTAGTATGTACCATAACAAGATAATGGTGCAAAGGACTTGCTACAATGCTCAACCCAGCATGCTAACCACCGACAACCCAGATCGCAGATCCCAGCTCCTTCTCGCGGGGGAATGTGTCTTCGGGACACCCTTCCCGTTGCCTCTCCCCACACAAATGAAAAGGTGTCCAGGCAGATGTAGTGCAGGCAGATGTAGTGCATGTGACAACTACAGAAGGACGCGAGCAACCCAAACGCCACGGAGCTTCTTGTTCGACGAAGTCGTGCTTCAGCTCCTGGATGTCGGTCTAGGGTTTAAGGTTTAGATGATGGGCCCATACTGTAGCCGACTAAGCAAAGCTGCATGTTGGTGCAGGCATTGGCCATTCTTTCCGGCAGCTCATGTCATCCGATCCCCGCATATCCTCGGACATCCCAAGCCTGAAGACTTCCACGAAGGTCATATGCTCAGCAGATAGGTCTACCGAAGCCCCGAGTTCCTTGATCTTTCTGCCAAACTCTTCTTTCGGTGGTGGCCGCGCCCCCAGAGCAATGCCCAATGCCCTGCATTGTCCCCAGTTGAGCAGGACCCGACGGATGCCACGCTTCGACCAGCAGCCTGGTACCGCCTCGGCAACATCAGGTTCAAGGGTCGTTGGGTAACTGGGACACTGCAGCCCCACGAAGGGCACTAGTCAACCATTTCGAGATAATGGCTTTCTTGCGGAGACAGAGGGTTACTGAAGTGTGCCGGCTTTCCGAGGTGAAAAGGGATTGAGGTTCCTGCATTGAGTTTAAAGGTACGCAAGGAAGGAGCATGACGAAAAATGGTTTGTTGACCGGGTGAGGGCTTGGAGAAACTGCCGGGGCCGTGCAGTCCCAGCACCACCTCAGCACATCTCAAGTTCAGCTTTTTCAGGGTCTAGGAGCTTGGGATCAATATTCATAAGTTTCAGGGCAAGGCAGTTAGGAGCCAAACCTTTCAAGCCAAAAGGCCCCGGGATCCCGAAATGCCCCAGTTTGGCTCGTGGAGCGCCGACTGTTGAGTTTGCAGAGGTACGTGGCCAACCTGCCGGAAGAGGAACTGGAGAAACACATCATCGAGCTGGCTCCTTATCAAGGGTGGGGGTGTTATAAGGGTGTTTGGATTGAGCCTGGTCCGGAACCATGTCACATGCACTCATCCTAATTAATCCACGAGCGGGCCTTTTCCTGAGCACCCAAAACACCTCTTAACCAAAACACCCCTTTGAACCCCTGAGGCTGGGTGAGGAGGTGCATCTGCTGAGCATCCAGGGAGTTCATGCCATGACCTGCTGTGAAAACGAGTTGAAGCCGTGAATACCTTTGGCATCAGGAGCCGGGTTTCGCAGCTCGCGTGGCCAGAAGACTTGTGGCTGCGAAGCCTCAGACTACCCAGCAGGCTTCGGGCTGGGTGTTAAGTTTCTCTGAAGAGGTTCGGGCTCGGGGCTTGCACTCGTAGGCCAACCCCTTAGCCCTTCTGTCGCAGGGCCCCACCACGACTGCAATGCAAACACCTGACTTATCTTTTCTGTGATAATTCGGATCCCCTTGGGTGCTCTGTTGGACTACAACCAGAGCCGGAATGGTTCTGAATAAAGTCAAGATTCTTCTGTGAGTCAGATGTTGTCGCTATGTCGGTCTAGCCGGTCTAAGTCAGCGGCCACTGAGCACTTGCTCGCTGCACCAGTTGATTTGTGAGGCTGCGGCCATCATCGAGGAGCCAACACGCTTCATGCAGTCAAGCAGTGTTGTCCAAGTCTGTATTAAGGGTTGGTGGTCACTTGGTGGAAAGCCTTCAACTTCTCAGTTCCTTCCGACACCAATTCGGGACCAGGACTGCGCGCGCGAGGAGGGAAGAGCTCCCTCCCGTGTGCATGCAGCGACTTTGCCGCTGGGACATGCCTAAAAGCCTTTATCGAAATTTCCAAATACACTATTGAACGCTGGTCCTGCCAGTGCTGCATCAAACACAGCAACAGTCCAAAACCGCGGCGCCTAGGACCTTTCAAGCTTTGCGGATTCTTGTGAACGGCAGGGCTCCCAGAACGGCATTTGTTCAGATGGCGGCTTGAGTTTGGGAGTTGAACCTTTGTGGAGGTAGTTGACTGATGTAAGGCAGGTCCTGGAAACCTCGTACCACATGGTGCCTGAAGCACTCCCAGAAGGTACTTTGGAATGCAATCCTCCGCGACGCCTTCTGGCTCTCCAGCTCGACCTTCCGATACATGCGAGCGCACTGTGCAGAGTGTGGAGTAGTATGCAATAGTATGCATGAAGGTCTGCAGCCATCCAGCTGCGCTATCGTCACCAAAATCAATATAGGGTGTTGTTACTTGAGTCCAAAGCTCCTTTCGGCGAATGGAGGGACGCATGGCATTTCGGAAGGCTGCCGGAGCCCCCAAAGCCTTTGCAAACACTAACCTTGCATGCCCAGTAAGCTGTGCACATTTTCCGTTCCTCTCGCATCACGTGCGGGGGCATGAGTGCAAGCACCGGTGGGATTTCGAGGGCTGGAACCTCCCGTGAAGCCGGGAAAATTTGGCGGGCGGCCGAAGCTGCGACGGAATTTGCAGGGCGAAGCTACTCGGTGTTAGCTGGGCTCGAGGCTTTTGGGCTTGTAGCTACGGTGCTGTTTGGGGTCTACCAACATCTACCTTTCGGCATGATGGGAGGGTTGATGCGGTCTGCTATTTTGTCAGGATGACAGCCGTATAGGCCGTGAGCTCTGGAGCGGTTGCCTTGCACGATGTTGCACGTGAAACACATGCTCGTGATTCGTACACACAACATCCGGCCTGTACAGGGTGCTCGGGGCAAGCAGTCCTGGGAAGAAACGTGCAAGAGTTGCCTGGTTCATGCAGTCCCTGCGTTTGCCGTCTGAGAAGCTGCACTCAAGCACCAACAAAAAGCATCTCAATATAGGGTTTCCGAAAGTAGGGGTGCCCCTTTGGGGGGGGGGGGTCCCTTGAACGGATTCTATTCTACTTGGGGTATGAAAGGGGCACCCCCCTTTGCTGGGAAATGCCCATATGTGAATGTCAAGCCTGAAGAATCACGAATTTTCGAAGGCGATGGGGCTCCGAGCCTTCATCTTGGTACCTGTCTTCCTCCAATGCGTCGAAGCGACACCGGTGACGTTGGAAGTTTGGCGGCACTTACGGTGCTTCACCCGCAGCTGCAACTTGTGAACAACTTTTGCGTGCCGCCACCTTTTGTGTTGGCTGCATGCCTCTCGAAGGTCAACTCTACCATGCTGGAGCACCTTGAAGCTGGAAAGCACCTCTTTGTCATCTTCTCCGACTCGAAGTTTGACAAGGCCGGCGACACGCGAGGGCAAAGGACTCTCAAGCCACAACTAAATGCTGAACCCTGGTAGGGCTTTTGGGCCTAGGGTTGGGATGTTCCCCCTTATACTAACAGTCCTACAGGCGCTTATAGTACCCCCCCCCCCCTTCTTATAATCCCATTAAATAAAGGACCGTTAGGATAAGGAAGCCCGCTTGGACTCCCCGGTTCTCGGTTCTGCTGCCGTTCGGGAGGCCGATGGGGCCCACAGCAGGGAAAAAGACGCCTGGGAGCAGCTTGGCAAGCTCTACCAGGCCGGATTTAGGGTTTAGGGTTTAGGGTTTAGGGTTTAGGGTTTAGGGTTTAGGGTTTAGGGTTTAGGGCCTTCGCTGATGGGGGCTTTCCGAAATGTGGGGTACCTTATTCCCCGGCAGCTGCGCAGTCCTGGCTGTAAAAAGGGGTGCCTTATTTGGGTCCTGATTATAAGGGGTCCCCTGTTTATCGTAAACTCCCAGATAAGTCACAGCCGCACTCCCGAGACAGCGATGGGATGGTTGGATAGGAATTGCTTTCAATTCTGCGATCCCTTGGTGCGGGGAGGCTCCACCTACATAAGATTACATATGCCTCCCCGGAATCCGGAGAAGGCAAGTGAAGATTGGCCGGTGAGGACGATCCGAAGGTCCTGATTGGGCACATCCATTGCTATTCCAGTGCGGCAGAGGTGCGTCTGTGCAAACAGCCGCAAGGTGGAAATTCAGTGGAGAGGGTGATCCTCTTGAGGTCTTACGGTTTTGGGGTGGCTTCCCTTCCCAACCGATCAACATTTGCGCAGGGTGGTTGAGAGGGTTTTCTTTGAGCGAACATTGAAAAGCCCCCCACTTTCGGCGCAACAAAGGGATTGAGGGGATGAGGCCATTGCAATGGATGCCCTGATGGCTTAACGGCTTGTTGAGTGAGGCTAGGGGCTTGGGCATGGCCAGCTTCAATTGCACATGTGTTAGTAGTAGCACCGACATCGAGCCTTCTTTCGTGCGGGAAGGTGGCAGGCCCGAAGGTACATTCGCTAGCCAGCATCCAGCACGAAGGATTGTAAGTTGCTGCCGGTGAAACGCCAAGGCACAAAATCACTGGGTATCCGACCTTGGCCCACTACAAGGGCCACTTGGTAATTGACCAGGATTCTTCAGAGGAAGGGAGTAGTGAGTATTGAGGTAGGGGCTCCAAACCCCTCTTGTTTTTGGAAGCGGCGTGGGGGGGCGTGCGTTTGGGCATTTTTCTTGGGGTTGAAGGGGGGCGGAGGGGGGGTAATTACGTCCGTTGGTGCCAGGCCAAAGCCCCGAGCCCCCAACCTAAACCCTGACCTCTAAACTCCCTTCCTCCTCCCCTTCAGGACTCCGCGAATAACTCCTGCGAAAACACCTTGAAAACGCAAGATACACACGATTCAAAACGCACTGGCGCTGTGGAAAAACACGATGTTAGATTTAAAACACAGCTTGAGACTTTAAAATTCCGGACCCTCGGGAAAGAAAGCGCGAAAAATCCGACCGCGCCGAGCGAAATTGCATTTTTTCGATAAAGAGGCCTAACCCTCCAGTGTTGTTGATGACACTTCCAACAGCTGCTCTCCCGTGCAAAGGGTACGCTTATGTCGAGTTTTGCACCCACAACACATCGCACTCAGCGCAAAAATATCTCCGAACGCACGGCTCCATGCGGGCGCCGCCACCTTGTTTTTGCAGAGTGCACCGTGGGGCGTGTCAATTGTTCTCGATGGCTCGATCCCAAGTGGGATCGAGCAGAAGGAATTGGAAGGATCTAAGACTCCTTGGGTGTCCTTCATTTTTAGACAGCAACAACAATAGCAACAATGAAGCATTTGGTTTTGTTCATTCAGCTCATTGATAGCTAGTGAGCAAGCAACAGATGCAACTTTAGTCCTTGCGCTGAAAATCATACGCCCGAAAAACAAATCAACTGCAATGCTTCCCGCGATTGGTTCTGCCAGCAGTTCCTTCCTTGCCTCGTGCTTTGTGTGTCAGGAAATGAGTGGCAAAATCCAGGCTCGGAAGGGTTGTGGAATTGCATGGCAATCCCAGCCAATCGGTGTTTGGTTGAGAATAAAGGACGTGAGAAAGTGGGACAGCAAATGGTAGCAGCTGTAGGGCATGGCATGATTGAGATGCCTGCGCAGTCACTGCTGTCAAGTAAAAGATCTGGAGGCAGACATCAGATGTATGGGGGCAAGAGAGACCTCGAGTCCTTGAAGGCATTTGTGGCTGCTCAGCTTGCACATGCCACCTGCTTATCCAAGCCACCTTATAAACGAAAGTTGTAGGGCTGACATCTTTTGCCCTACAGCATCCTACCCCTCTGCGTGCCCTTCTGCCGGTTGCCGTGCTTGCGGTATGTCAATGGCCTGGCTTCCTTGCGTATAGAGTCTGACCAAGGAGGACTATGTCCGCAAACCTCCCGGTCAGAAGTCTGAGCTGTGAGCGGGTGAAGTTCTGAGCAAATCTATAGTTCCGAGCACTGTGGCGCCGATGTCCGCGCCATGTGCCCACTGGGCTCACAGCCCTAGTTTCGGCCGATGCAAGATGGGTGCCGTTCGGAAAACGAGAGAAGTGGTTGCGAAGCTGCAGCTGCGCCGCTTCTTTGCACTCGTGCACACTCAGTGGTTAGTGTCCCCCTGTGCCCGCAAATTCCTCCGGCCCAAACCCTGAAGATCCCTAAAGCATCCTAAACTTCCTAAACTCCAATTAAATCAGGCCATGAACTTTATGGGGCAAGCAAAACGCCCAGAGCCGAGGCGAGCTTGCGGCAGTTTCGGCGCTGCTCGAGGCAGCGGAGTCCGTGCTGGTTCCAGGAGGCGCCAAATTCCTGTCGAGCTCGAACTTCAGGGGGCTTAAAGAGGCTCAATGGAGATTTCGGAGGGGCTTCAGGCTTTCGGGGCTGTGGCAGTGGGGGTTCAGGATACACGTTTAGTGTTTGGGGACTTGGGAGGCCTTGGGGGATCCGTAGGTGCTTGC